AAAAATATGATTTCAGAATAGCACAGTTCTTGCTTTCAATGAACCTACTATAGTTTAACTCCCCCCTAAAAAAGCATTAATGTCACATGACTAGATTTTCCTGAAAGTTAGGATTTCTGGACATGAGAGTGTTTTATCTGCACCTTTTACCTTAATGTTTTTCAGCAAATGTAGCTGACCACTTCAGATCCTTAATGCACCAGTGCTATTAAGGTCTGTCTTCCAGATTAAACCATCTAGGAGGCTGTCACTCCTACCATGGATTATGACAGCTGCAGTGCTGGAATTACTCTATTGCAGTTAACAGTACTTGAGATCATTTTGCACCTGGTAGTCTCATAGTTACTGTCAGAGTTAACAGGAGTTGTGAGAATTACAGGGTGAAGATAAAGGATCTTGTTGACTAACAGAGGACTTTTGGGATTTAGGATCAAGTTGCAAGGCTAGTTTAGTCTCAGACACTCACCAGAGCAGTGAGTATGGAACAGTTGCCTGGTACACTCATATCATAAGTAGATATTAAAAGGCCTTGAGAAATACTTCCTAGCTTTGTACAGGCAGCCTTATTTTCCTCACTCAGTCAACACCTTTTCCAGTTCTATCGGTGATCCCTATATCCCAGCCTTGCCTTTCTCACCCTGAAAATCTGCAAGTGAAAATACTCCTGCATCTTCATCCTAAAATCTTTCTAAGCCTTCCACTATATTGATCATCTCTTCCATTAATTCCAGCTCTCTTCTTCCCAAATTGAAAGAGTTTTCTATCTAAACTGAGTGTTTCTGAGACTGTGCCTGCTTTATTATCAATACACTTCCAATTAGCATTGTAATTTTGTTAGTTGTGTTGTTTAACTTTGGAAAGTGAGGGCATGATTATGAGTATCATATAACCCATTCACAGCTGTTTACTATTCCACAGCTCTAGACTCTACTCTTGACTACAGCTTCACAATGCTGTTCGTACAGTGAAGACCAAGTGAGAGTGCACATTAGACAAGTGTAAACCTATTATCCCTAATAGGAAAAAAAACCTGTGTGCCCTACAGATAATATATCAGTAGCATCATTTTCATAGGTGAGAGGTACACTGTTATGGAAAGCTGTGGGTTACTTAGAATTCATGGATTTGCAGAAATTTTCAGTTGTCAAAATGATTGTGCTCTATATATACAAATTTATCAATTGCATGTTACCTTATACACATAATACCCATTTGTACTATCATAACTAATATCATTTGACTAAAAGAACATGCTTTTTATTAAGCTAGATGTGAATTTCACACCAAAGTATGAATTACCATTAGAATTTAATTTTTTTTAAAAGGCAGAGGTTTTAAAATTCCTTTAGGAAATCTAAAAAAAAAAATCCTTTAGGAAATCTCCTTTTAGGAGATTTTTTAAAAAACAAATCATTTAGATATTACTTCTGATTAAAGCCAACACTCGTTTGGCGCATGTTCATTTAAATACAGTTTTATTTTTTCACAATTAAGAATGTGGTTCAGTTGACATCTAAATGTCTTTCATGTCTTATCTAATATTGTTCTTTGTCATGTAACCTATATTCTAAACAAAATAACCTGTTCTTTGCTTCCCATTTTCATGCTATGCATTTCAAATCTCTCATATATATGTGTGTATGTATGTATATGTGTGTATATATATATATTTTTTTTCTTTTTTTCCATGCCAGTCTCCACAGTTAGAGTTGGGTTCCCCTGCTTTTATCTCCTTCTCCTTCTCTGTCTGTTGATGTTCATCCCTTTAAGGCCTAACCCAAATATCACATCTCTGAAAGATTTCTTCATCCTCAGATGTTTCATGATACTTTGCTTGGACCTCTTCTTTGTACACATTTCAAACATATATTGCATATGCATTGTGTCATAATTATAGACATGTAATCTACTTCCTGCTCCCCCACTCTCTTCTTCTCTCTCTTTCCCTCTACCTTTTTTCTTTCTCTCTCGTTCTCCCTCTCTTTCTCCTTCTCCCTCTCCCTTTTTCTTCCTCTCTCCCTCTCCCTGTTTCTCTTCCCTTCCTCTCTCCCTCCATCTTTCTCTCTCTCCCTTTCTCTCCCCCCTCCCCATACAATTTAAACTCCTTGAAAGGAAGGTCAGTTAGTTATAACTTTATAACTAACCTTTGAATCTCTATCAGCCCTCATAATATCTTATACATTGCTGTTACAGAATCTTTTCCTGTTGGCAACTTCTAAAGTCTGGAAAGAAAAAAAAACACATCCAAAGACTACTGCAGTTGGTACTTGTATTTATCTGTTGCTCAGTGAGAACTGCTTTTAGGGCTCTGTACCTGCAGCTCTTTTTAATAAAGATAATAAACTGTTTATGTTCTATACTGAAATTTGTATAAGTAAGTATATATCTAATTTTTGTACATCATATATAACACTGATACACCCATTTGTTTGAAATTCTGAGTGAAAAAAGAAAGGTTCATTGCTCCCTTCATACTAACTGTACTCCTTACCCTGAGAACCCCAACTGCATATGGTCATACTCCGTAAGAGTCTTCCAGCAAGGAAGTTAATTGTACAGAATTTTTGAAGCAGTGGTGTACTGCTTAAATATTTGTCTTCTTTACATTGAAATAGGAGTAATCATGTGTCACATAAAATAATAATGTGTGGAAAATGTTATTGAAAGTTACAAAAGACATGCAAATATAAGTTATAATTTTGTTTTAGCCTGTGATCGCTTTTAATAGAAAATGTCCACTTGACTAAGCTCTTACAGTGCTTGTTTGAGAGAATTAAACACACACTTCATGTATGCTCACATAGATGAAATGACTCTAAAATTAAATTTGTGAATGCTTAGGTTGGTGCCAAAAATTTTATCACAAAAGAATGTATTTCTGAACTCCCTGGAATTTAATAGGATAATAAGGTGACATACACATATTTTCATTTTACATGCACATTTTTGATACCTAACACATCTTTGCCTTTATATAGTGTATTGTATTTTAAAAAACACTACTAACCTATTTACTTTTTGATACTTTAAAGTTAAAATTGAAAATTCTTTTGAAGATAATATTTAATCTTCTAGCAGCATCCTTAAAATTCTCACACATGTCAGGTGGTGTATCATATGTATTGAGATATAGAAAAACAAAAGTGTACAAAACCTAAGTCATGTTCATTTTCTCAGGCAGTGGTTGCTACCAGTTTTTAAAAGATTAGAACCCAATTATAATTGGTGGCATTAATTTTTCAAAATTTTAGTGTTACAAATTTCTTTTTGCCCTTTTAATAAGTTATCCTCATTTTTCATTATACACATTCATTGAACTGCCAATTGGACATTTCAAAAAAAATTTCATGTAGGTTTTAAGTTTTCTGGCCAGAAATTATCCCCTAACTTTTTTTTAGTTTCCTTGTAGTCACAAACTGATTTCTATGTCAGTACATTTTAATCTTTTAACTTACTTCCAAGTTAATTGGGAATTTAATTTAGAATTTATATTTTTCTTATTTTTACTTTTACTGCATTAAAATGTAGCTAATGAACTAACTGATTGCTTAATCTCTTAAAAAGTAACTTTATATAATGACGGAAAAGTATTTTTGATCTCTTGTACTGTTTGAACAGAATTCCTGCATTATGCCAAAAAAAAAATCTTTAGTGATGTTTAGTTTTATCCTCAAAAGAAAGTACTTAAAAAAAAATGAAAACCCATTCTTCACATCTGCTCATTTATATGTCTACTATTCAAGAAGTTTTTATATTGGAAAAAATATCAATAAACAAGCACTTCATAATTTTCTTTTAAGGGAAAAAACTTTAGCCCGAGGCATATTTCAAATATTCGTCTAGCCATTTTTATAAGATTTGGAGAGTGGGACAGAATGGCATGTATACATACACACATATGCATGTATATTAAAATCAGAATATTTTACGTGAAGTAGTGTGTGGTGAAAGTAGCTATCTTGACAAAACAAAGTTTTTACATCAGGCCTTTAAATTTTCAACAGAGTTTCAACATTATTTAGATAAAATAATTATTTTACAAAGACGACTTTTAACATGATCAGGCCACCCACAGTGTTGACTAGAGAATATGGCATGCAAGCCACCCAGTGAGACTGATGTAATTTTTTCCATCTTTGCTTAAAGTATCGCCACTAGACCAGATAATGTACAAAGTTTTGATAGGCAGTGATCAAACAAGCAAAAACAGTTTAACCTTTTCCCCCTTTTTTCTTGTGACTAATTAAAAATAATTCATAAGGTGAAAAATTTGAACTATTTCTGCATAAAATAAATTTTACTTAGATTTCTGAAGAAGCAGTCCTTTCATTATTGTGATTCACATACTTATGAGATTTATTCAGCATGAGAATTGTGTAATGACCAGCTATTTATTGAAATGAAAAAAAAATGCAGGGCTATCAATTTTTTTAAATAGTACTTTTTCTTTAAAGTTATATATTAAATTGTATTAAGCTAAGTAATTTTTGTAATTTGTACCTTTTTCCTGGCATGAAATATTTTAAGCAATGTGTGTATTTAATCCTTTCCTCAAAAATTTCTTTTTTTTCTGTTGCACTTATCACCACACATCTAAATATCAAACTCATGGAATTTAATTGTTATGGTTTTGCTGTGTGTTAAAAAGGATACATTCTATGTTAATCAACTAACCTAATTACCTGAGATTTTCTATGAAATTTAGGGTACTGGCTAAAATAAACTATAAGTTCACCACAGTGAAATTAAACACTTAGTTTTAGAAAATGTGGTTTTTAATGGTATACAGCTCTCACCACATTAAGGCTTAAGCAGTCAAGATTGAAATTGTTTTTCAGTATACTGTAACATATTCTCATTGTACCTGATTTTGAAAAAATCTCTTTTAAAAATGCAAAACAGTGGTAATGTACAACATTTTGATTCCAAAGACTGAATAAATTTTCTGTTGATTAAAAGATTTTTCTCTTAGAGTTTTTTTTATTGTTATTTTGAAATAGGAGCCAGTAACACTGCTGATACATTGTTTCAAGAAGTCTTAGGCCGAAAGGACAAAGCAGATTCCACCAGAAATGCGCTAAATGTTCTTCAGCGTTTTAAGTTTCTCTTCAACCTTCCTCTAAATATTGAAAGGAATATTCAAAAGGTAGTGTGTATACACATCATATACAGACCTATTTATATATTTTAAAAGCATGCTATTTATCATTTTTCAAAAGTTTAATTAGATCTATTTTTATTGAGCTATACTGACAGTCTCTAAAACATTATTTTAAAGGGTGATTATGATGTAGTCATTAATGACTATGAAAAAGCCAAGTCGCTCTTCGGGAAAACGGAGGTGCAAGTTTTCAAGAAATGTAAGAATTTGTTTATTACTTTTAGGTTTTCAGCTTTCCTTTTATAGGAAGAATGGGGAACTTATAATTCTGCGAAGAATGTTACATGTGTTTTAGCTTGTGCAAAGAATGTTATATGTGTTTATTTGGTGCTCTCTTTAGAATTTGGAACAACTATTTTAAACAATAACTTGAGCAGAGTTTCTAACTAGGGCATTTTACTAAGCTGCAGCATTATGGGAATCTTCAGGCAGGGTTTTTTTTTGCGGGGGGAAGGGGTGTAGGTTTATAATTATTCTTACTTATAGCTAACCTGGTATCTTCTATGCCATGATTCTTTAATTCCAAGATCAGCTGTATTTTTCTAGTGATTTCAAAATTACTTAAATAGCAATAAATATAGAAATCATGAACATATTCCTTCATATGTCTGGATAGACATTGTTTAAATGATGATCTTTAATTAATTAATAATCTTTTTCATTAAATAAGCATTAAAGAAATATGTCATGTGTGCCTTAGGCTACAATTCTCTGTGAACTAGCTTTAAGTGTGAAAAGTGTCAGATGCATCATCTTAAAGAAATAAATTGTTTTTTTGAATTTGAGGACCAGAGGGTGTAATATCTATAGTATAGGGAAGTGAAGTTCTATAATTGGTTCTGCCACTATGGAAATAATTTAATAATAAGTAATTTAATCTTGATCATTTAGTAGTTGCACTTGATTGTCAGAATGAATTTAAGTTGTAATCATTTAAATCCACCCGTACTTAGAGGTAAGAATGCAAAATCAAAATAATTGGTTAAACTTTCACAGAGCTTTGTCACTAAATAATAATGATAATAATAATAATAATAACCTATATATTTATAATACTTTACAATTTACAAAATGCTACCACATATGTCATCTGATCTTTACCATAGCCCTGTGAAGTGTGCAGGGAAAGTGTTATATTATTTTTCCCATTTTTCTGGGAAAAATGAGAAAGATTTTCAATTATGATTACTCTCAAAGAAAACCCTTTTACTGGCTGGCCTCAATCTTAGATACTTTATGACAAAAGTAAAACCACATTTCTTATTCCCCTCTTCAGAAAACCATGTGCTTCTAAGGATTCTAACCTTAAAAGCAAATTAAACTTTTCAAAAATTTAATCAAGAAAGTTCAATATAGTTCATATGCTGTCTATATTAAAGTTTCTTTATTAAGTTGATTAGTATGTCTATAAAGACATAGGAAAATGTGTTTCCAAATGCATTTTTCCTGACATTAACATTTACCTTTTCCTTTTTTAATAGATTATGCTGAAGTAGAAACACGGATTGAAGACTTAAGAGAACTGCTGCTGGACAAATTGCTTGAAACTCCATCTACCCTACATGATCAGAAACGTTATATAAGGTGACTTTTTCTAACGTACCTACCTAACTCTGTGTGTTCGTAAATAGTGATTAACATAAATACATCTGTAGTAGTAAGCATAGTGTCTTTATCCTGAAGCTAAGTTTGGAAGAATTAGGAGACACATGTATTCTTGAAATAGGAAATATTGGCAGGGAAGCGGTGCCTAGCTAATAAAAGTAGAAAGATTGTGGGATGCTACCATAGTTCTCCGCTTTTATTTTATATTGTTAGTATGCTTTTTCCAGATTTTGCATCTTTAGCATATTTCTACATTTTAGGAGGTCATGAACATGTCCCTCACTTTTGAAGGTGGTAGATATCTGCTGGCATGGAAAGAAAGGAAAGATGGCCTATATATACCCCATATATAGGCCACTTGGGTTTCTACCCCACTACGATTCCTTCATGTCGCTCAGTCCGGAAGATTGATGGCAGTGTTCTACTTTATGGGCACCATAAAGGCTTCTGGCATATAACTCAGCATGCCAGGCAGTTCTTCATGCCATAGTGGTATGCCATTGATCATTGGTTGAAAAGCTTTTCTCAACACAGAACAGACAATTTAATGCTAGCAAAAGGCTAACCTCAGAAAAGAAAACATATGTGGGTAGTCAGCTCAAAGAGAAATAAGGGGCTTCTGCATGGGGAGGTGAACAATATAAAACAAGGACATGGGCCACAGGATCTCTAACATGAGTAAGATTAAGAGAAGTAAAGGACTTCAAAGGCAACCACTTGTGTGATTGTAATTTGTGACCACATATAGAAACTATTAGAAAGGCACAAAATATATTTGTTTTATTTGTCATAAGCTTTTTTGTACGTATTTTCTTGTGGGACATTATGAAAGTAATGTGTATAAACTTATCATCTTGTCTCTTTATGTGTAAGGGTTGTCATCCTGTGTTTAACATTTAGTGAAACAATAAAAATATAAAATAAATCTCATCCTTCTTTCCCTACCCCTCCTCCAACTTCCAGAATTAAAGGTTACTTAGAATTGTGACTCCCTTACAGAATCGAGTTGTTGCTCAGTTTAAATTCATAGAATTTATAGAATTTTTGATCTAGCAAGAACCATAGACATCATAGCTCCCTCACTTTTCATATAGATATGTGAATAAACATCTATAGTTTTGGGGATAATTTGCTCTAAAATTTACGAGTATAGGAGGACTGTTATAACTTTCGTATATTGCAGAACAAAAGCTCTAAGAAAAGTATATCGGTATTTTGGTTGAGAATTTATAGTAAAGGAAGATCAGCCTTAGGCCAAATTGAAAAGTTGGTGAAATATGACTTTATTCTTGTTGTTGTCATTGTGGCTCTTCACTAATATTTTCCCATTAAATTATGAAGTTACCTTTCACAAAATTATTTTAAAGGTATAAAGCTGAGGCTATAATGGAAATACCTATCTAATGATAGATTTCTGTATGCTGTGGAATCTGAGTAAGTGATAAATGTTTTAAATGCTAAAACTCCTCGTGTCATAACATAGATTTCATTATCTACTCAGGCTAATCCTGGTGGCAACAGAATTCATAGTCATAAGGGTGTAGCTTCATGTCTTACACGCTTTACAAAAAGATGGAAAAATAAATATTATCTCTTTACAAGAGAAAAATAAAGTATAACCTAGATATGAATAATCTAGTGAAATGCCTTGCTTAAACTGAAGAATAAAGGATATAGGGAACAATTTTTTTTACAGTTATCATTAAGTAGAAAAAAATTACCGAACAAGGTTGTAGTTTTGTTTTTCTCTAGAAGCCTTTACAAGTGAGGGAGAAGCTTACCTTTTTTGGGCCTTTTGATATAGTTTTATCTTAAGTTAGGCTTGAACCAGTATATATAATGTATTAAGGTATGGTATAACAAAGATCACAGCTCATTGGTGCCTTCTCTTCTTGTGGCTGGGCTGTGATCTGCTCAGGTGAAAAGAGCCCCCACATTGAAGAGATCACAGATCAACTGAAATAAAGAAGTGGAAGGAATACTGAAATTGTTTGCAGAAGACCCAGATTTAAGTACTCCAGTTTCTTACTACATGCTGATGATCCCCCAGACCTGGAACATTCTCTTTCCCATCTTATCCCATGACTTCCCTGCCTTCCTTCAGGCTGTAGCTTTTCTCAGTGTTCCTTGGTCTTAGTGCCCTCCCTTTGAGACGACCTCACCTCTGCCTTATTCCTTGATAGATCTTGTTCATATGTAGTCATTAGGCCAGGAGCTCCTTGCAAGCAGGGAGTGTCTCTTGCCTTTCTTGTCCCCAGTGTTAAGTACATGGCCTGGCACACAGCAGGCATTTAATAAATGCACTTGACTGACTCTCTAGCTGTGATACTATCCCTCTGACTCGCACAGTCATTTTCCCTTTCTGGGCTTCATATATTAACAAAGAGATTGAGCTAGATGATTTCCAAGGTCTCCTTACAACTCTGACATATAATTCTGTCCTTTTTAATTTGATTCTGCTATGAAAATCTCAAATCAAATATCTGGCTGGCACAGCTGCATGCCTCCCCAGCATCTTTAAATAGTAGAGATGCTAGAAGCAGTTTATCAATATATTTACCTTTTCTAATGACTTTTGCAATGCAAAAGCCTCCCTATTTAGATTGACATAATATATTCTACAAAGTATGCATAAGTTATATAAAAACTGTAGGTAGCAGTGACAAGTCTTAGATTATAGCACATTTGACTTGTACAGTTTATTTTCCTTTTTTTTCATCTATTCAAGTAGTTTTAATAAAAAATGATTAATCATAGAATTCTAGGCTCAGGACTAGAAGAGACCATAATGGTCACCTAATCTGTTCTCCTCAAGTTATGGATGAGGAGGACTGAGGCCCAGTGAGATTAAGTTAAGAAGTTAAGGCAGCTAGATGGTACGCTGGATAGACCACTGGGCCTGGAGACCCTAGATCAAATCCAGCCTCAGACACTTAATAGCTGTATAACCTTGGGCAAGTTACTTAACCTCTGTTTGCCTCAGACTGTAAAATAGAGATAATAATAACAGCACCTACCTCTCAGGGTTGTTGTGAGAATCAAATGAGATAACAACTGTGAAGTGTTTAGCACAGGGCCTGGAACATAGTAAGCACTATATAAATGTTAGCTATTTCAGGGGTTATACCCTATATAGGATGGAAAGCATTTATCAAGTACTTACTGTGTGCCAGACCCAGACCCTATGCTGAGTGCTTTACAGATGTTATCAAGATAGTCCTTGCTCCCAGGCAGCTCACATTCTAATCAAAAGAGGCTTATGTTAATTTTCAGTTCATGTTGGATGGAAAGGCCAGGTAATACCTAGGTTCTGAAAGGAAAGTGACAGGGCAAGAGATAGGGTCCTTAGGACCTCGAGGAAAGATGGCAGGGGCAGATGGTCCTCTACTTAGAGGAGAGTAGGCCCAAGGGTTGGAGTAGCATGGGGTGAGGGATCCTTCCACTGAGGGAAGAAGAGACCTGTGTTTGTTGGGAACTGAGCAGTAGGACAATGGAAGTTGCGTTGGAGCAGTCTGTGGTTCCCTCAAGTGATAGTAGGTGATGCTAGTCTGTGACTGGGCAGGAAAAGGTCACCAGCTTATATACATACAAATCTATACAAAATATATACCAAATGAATCTAAGGTCATTTGAGCTGAAGGCACTAGTAGCTCATGGTAGAGCAGGAAATGTCTCATGTATTAGACGCCATCTGAGTTCATCTTTAAAAAACAAAACTCTAGGGATTCTAAGCATAAGTGAAGAGAGAATACTTTCAGAAAGGGGAGATGCTCTGTGTAAAGGAACAGAGATCGATGTTGAAGTGTTACTTGTAAGGAGTAACAAGAAAGCCAGTTTGGCTGTTCCATGTCATCTGTGGAACAGTGGAGGGATCTTCCACAGCAAGAATTTCTCATGAGGATGAAACTCCAATGAATGTCCTGGCTAGATCAGACAACAGAAGTTCAGGGAATACCTAGGAGTTCCCATTTGATTGGAAGGTAGAATAGCTAGAGGGTGCAGCAGATAGAGATCTGGAATTAGGCAGACTTATATTCCTGAGTTCAAATCTGGCCTCAGACATTTTCTAGCTGTGTCACCCTGGAGGAAGGGGGTGGGACAGGAAATCATTTAATCCTGTTTGCCTCAGTTTCCTCATATGTAAAATGAGCTGGAATAGGAAATGGCAAACCAGTATCTTTGTCAAGAATACCCCAAATGGAGTCACAAAGTCAAACACAACTGAAATGTTTGAATAACAACAAAGAGTACATTAAGGGGAATGATGTAAAATAATGCTAATAAGGTAGCCTAGACCAGATTATGGAAGACTGAGAAGTTTGTATTTTCTCCTTTGAGCAATATGGAGCCATCAAAGGTTTTTCAGTAAGGAAGTGACATGGTTGGAGCAGTCAATCAAAAAGAATCTTCTGTGTCTAGGTATCTGTGTATTAGGAAGTTTACTTGGGCAGTTATATTAAGGATAGGTTGTAGACAAGAAAGACCTGAGGCAGGGCAACAGGTTAGTAGGTTGCTAAAAATTCAAAGTAAGAGATAAAGAGGGAGCAAACTGTGCTGGTAGCAGGTAGGTAGAGGTCTGTGGATGGGTGTGAGTGAAATTGTGGAGGTAGATTTGGCTAGCTTTGGTAAATGATAGCATGTAGAGGATGAAAGAGAGGAAAAAATGAAGGATTTCAAACCTGGGAAGATGTAGTAGAAAGAGTGCTAGAGTAGGAGTCTGGAAGACATAGGTTCAAATCCTACTTCTAACACTTACTTGGCTGTGGAACCAGGGGCGAATTGCTTCACCTCTGAACCTCAGTTTCCTCCCCTGTAAATGGATGTGGTACCTAGCTCATAGGATTGGTATGAAGATCAAATGAAATAATGGATATGAAGTGCTTTATAAATCTTAAAATATAGTTCAAAAACCAATTATTGTTATGTGTTGAACCTTGAGATCCTTGGGAATAGTTATTGGATTAGTACCAGGTGGTTTCACTAGCAGTCATAGCATTAAGAGTGATTCATGGGATTAATGTTTAAAATGCTTTTGTTTTCTTTTTCTTTGTGCAACTGAGCAGTGTTTGGCATGATTCAAACTTAGATTGAACAGCTAGAGTTTTCTTACACTTGTTCACCAGAATATCTAATAATAAACTTACTCCTTATTTAAATTGCCCACGTTGTACATAGGTAAATGTACACTAGTAATTAGCTTACTAGAAAGTTTTGTATAAGAAGCCAAGTTTCCTGTGTTTTCCATGCCAATACAGACCTACCCCAAAGCAGTTATTAAAAATTGTATCTGGAAATAAAGTTAAATCTGTTTAAAACAAAAGCAGGTAAAGGAAAGAGTATTGGAAAGGCTACCCATTTTTTCTCCCATTTATCTTTTTTTTTTTCTTTTTTGGCTAGGCAGTGGGGTTAAGTGGCTTGCCCAGGGTCACACAGCTAGTAAGTGTTTTGTGTCTGAGGCCGGATTTGAACTCAGGTGCTCCTGAATCCAGGGCCAGTGCTCTATCCACTGTGCCACCTAGCTGCCCCTCTCCCATTTATTCTTTAAAAATGTCTTTTTAAAGCAATATTTTATTTGGATTTATAATTTTAAAGTAAATCATATATATATATATATATATACACATACACACACAGACATATACACACATAAATATCTTAGAAATCAAACTTATTTAAAAACATACAATAAAAGGAAATTTTATTGGGAGGTTCAGACAAAAGATAGTCAACCTCCCCCACCCCCCAAACACTGATGAGGTCCTAAATAGTAAATCTAAGTTCTCTTCATGTACAAATTTATTTTAGATTTTTTAAAGAGCATTTTATGGTTTCTGGATATAAAAAGTCATTGGTTTCTAGATTTCAGTGGGGGCATAGATAGAAATGTCAGGCACAAATCAATATCCTGTTATTATTATTGTATATTGAATGTTCTATAAACTTAATCTCACAAGAGGTTATAAAATAGCTGCTTCTCAGTTGAATATTATTATCATTAATACTAATATATAGTTATTACTTTTTTAGAATGAAAAATGAAGGTATTCAACATGAAACAACATTATATTTTATTAACTACCAGAGAAAAGAAATCATATAGATTTCTACAGTAGTTCCTTTTTTTCCATTTCTTTAGTTTTAAAAATAAAAGTCAATTGTTTTATATGTAAATTGCCTTTTTTTTTTAAGGCGGTTGGGGTTAAGTGCCTTGCCCAGGGTCACAAAGCTAGTACATATCAAGTGTTTGGTCTGAGGTTGGATTTGAACTCAGGGCCTCCAGACTTCAGGGAGGGTGCTCTATCTACTGCGCCATCTAACTGCCCCTCTTTTTTTTTTTTTAATTACAAAACTCAAACAATTAAGTTGGGGGGTGGAGCTGTTACAACTTATTCAAAGAGAACAGGAAAAATAAAGAACTGTTACTAGACTGCAAAAATAATGTTGTTTTCCTAAGTCTGTTGTTGTTCAGTGGTGTCTGACTCTTCATTACCCCATTTGGGGTTTTCTTGGCAAAGATACTGGAACAGTTTGCCATTTCCTTTTCCAGCTCATTTTACAGATGAGGAACTGAGGCAAATAGGGTTAAGTAAATATTATCCAGGGTCACACAGCTAGTAAGTGTCTGAGGCCACATTGTCAGAAAGATGAGTTTTCCTCTACTGCACCACCTAGCTGTCCTTTCCTAGGTCTAGATTTGATAAAAAGTCTTAGGGGGCAAAACACAGCATTCTTGAGGAGAATTATGAAGTTACAATATTATTTCCAAATGGGAAATAAAACAACCTTGAGGGGAGGCAGGGAAAACCAAAAAGTTAATGCCATAACTCTATTCAAGCCTTTTAATATTGGGGGAGGGATGGTAAAACCTGGCTGAGAGACAGAAATTGGATTGGATTTTGAAAGTCAAGGGCACATTCTCTAAGCTGAATTTTCTTTCTTTTTTTTTAGATGCATTACAGGCTGATTTTTTTTTCATGTGTGAAGTAGTGGGAAATGTCTTTTTTTGATTGTTTGGGTAAAAACACACACAACCTTTTAGCTCAACCTATATGTCTGCCAACATGAGAATAATCTGCATGTAGGTAGTTAGAGAAAAGAGAAAGAAGGGCAGGCCAATTCTAGAGCCTAGAATTTATTGCAGCTTATGAAAGCAGACATATACTATGTAAAAAATATTTCACAAATCCACTGTGGAAGATGACCATACCCACCCTGACACTTACCTTACGTAACCAATTATAGAGATCTTAAAAATAAAATCTATTATGGGTGTTATATACAGATTGAAAGTTATAGAGGTCATTCCCAACTTTTTTGACTAGCTATAACCTGTTTCTCCATAAGTTCTATATTATAGCTTCTAATAGCAAAATGGACTTCTTTCATTCTACCTGTGTGGATATGGAGAGCTATGACTGAGTAATGAAATGACAGCCCTTGAGAATCTTAGGGAACCCATTTTCCCCATACACCAGTTTTTTGTTTCCTCAACTTGATTTAGGGACTGATAAACAGATTAAATTCTGTTACCATTCACTATAAGATTATTATTGCAATGAGCTTGTATGTTACAGGTGATAATCTAGTTATATAAAATAATATTTAATAAAAAAAATTCTGAAACATATTATTTATGACAAGATTTGGTCTCCGTATTAGATTTTTCTTTGTTGCCTGAGGCTTTAGCTTTCACAACATTTGTCTCTAAAAATTTCAGATTAGTCTAAAATATTTTTATTGTACTGCTTGATTTTCACTCCAAAGAGGATTCTTAATATTTTATTATTTTCTGAGTTAACAGTTTAGTTTTTAAAAATCTCCAGGTACATTCTTTTCCATAGCTCTAGATGTGGTACTGCTGGCAAGAGGAGGCAGCTAGAAGATTAAATGGAGAGCAGCGGACTAGGAATCAAGAAGACCTGAGTTTAAATCCAGCTTCAAACACTCCTTGGGACAAGTTACTTCACTGTCTTAGTCTGTTTTCTGACTTGTAAAATCAAAGTCCTCCAAGGTTCCTTCCAGTTCTAATCTAGACCTGTTATTCATTGTGACCTATGATTCTTCTTCTTCCAGCCACAACTCAGAGGCAGTTTCTTGGCATTCAGAATTTTAAAGGTAGAGAACTGTGGCCTCAGAATCACTCCATGTTCAAAGGACACTTATAAATTCTGAGTTGCCCCTAGCTCTTGAGAGTTTAGTCATAAAAAAAACCAATGAGACAGTGCCATCTAATGGCAGCTATATTTATGCCTTTCCAAGATAGGCCAAACAAAAGGCTTCAGTTTAAAATGATTCCCCTTGTCTTCTCCAATGATTCCCACTTTTCTGGAAGACAACTTAAAGTTTAATGACTTTTAATAATGAAGAAATACTGTTTTATCTGAAATTAAATATGAAGATGTTTTCATTCCTATAATGGAAAAAAGTACTGAACTAAATTGCCCCTGGAGTCTCCTTTCTAAAATATCATGAGCCCTTTTTGGCTAGAGTTCTTCTTTATAATTCTGTGAGAGATATTAAAAAGTATTTAAATTATTTCATTAAAGTTTTAAAAATTATGAAATATCTTTGTATCCACGATTCATTATTTTATCCAGACTTCATTTTTCTTTATAAACCTGAAAAAATAATTTTGTTTTATTGTCCCATCTATCCTGGTTTTTATTGATATCAGCATTCTAACCTATGTGTATCTTGTTTTTTTGTTGTTGGGTTTTTTTTTTTCAGATACCTTTCTGACCTCCATGCTGATGGAGATCCTTCTTGGCAGTGTATTGGAGCACAACATAAGTGGATCCTTCAGCTTATGCATAGTTGCAAAGAGAACTATGTAAAAGACTTAAAAGGCAAGTATATTGTTTCTTTAATGAGTAAGCTAATTCAGTGGTGTCCATTGAGTCTTTAGAGTGCTTAATTATTCAGGGGGTTGTTATCCAGTTTTCTTCTCCTGCCCAAGCTATTTTATCCTGATTAGCCCTTATACTACAGGATAAACAAGCAAATGGAAGATAAAAAAGTGAAATCTTAATCTGTTAAATATTATGACTTATTAATAACTGATAAAGGTATGATAGAAAACTGAAACTTAGGGTTCAAAATTTAAAATAAGTTCACGAAGCTGATATCATTGCCTTTTATTATAGATAATGGAAAGTTAGAGGCCATGTTTTGTGGTAGAATAGAGTGACGGGATTGAAACCTCTAAGACACCTACTAGTAACTTAACCTCATTGTGCTTTAGGCAACTCTGAAGTCATAGATAAATTGCAGTCTGTGTTTGTTAAAGAATTTCCCACACCAGAGACAAATCACATGTGCTTGTTGTAATGGAAAATTTAATGTTCATGACAAATCCCCTGTTTTATAGGTGAGGAAACTGAAGCTTAGTGAAATTAAGTGGCTGGCCCAAGGTAATCAGCTAGTGACTAGATTACAAGTCACATGATCCTCAGTGTAATACTCTTCCCAGTAAGACTTAAGTCATGTGTTATTGAAAGAGGAAGCATTCATTTTTGTCTCTACTTCATTTTGTTTCTTTGAAGTAAGATAAATCTCTGATTAAGAATGACAATATCTTATAGAATTTATACTCAAAAGGATAAAAAAATAAATTTACTTATTAACAAAATACGTATTACAACTTGCTTAATAACGAAATATGTATTACTGTTGACATTTCTCATAATAATTGCAAGTCTCTTACTGCTGAACATCTTTAAAACATGTCAAGTTTTTAATCTAGTTGTTAGATCCTAGGGATATGTATGCAGTTTACACTGTTATTGATGTAGACATTACCTCTTAGAAAAACAGAATCATAATTTATGTTTGTTTGTTGTTTTTTGATTTTATGTTTATTGATTTATTGCATTATGCTTTAGCATATTAGACTTAGCAAACATTCTTCAGCATCTACTATGGAGCCTAATGCCATCATGATCATTGTGAGCGTTGTAAATAAACATACAATATATGGCATCTTTTTTCAAAAAGTTTTTAGACTATTTGAGGAGATGAGATAGACAAATGTGAAAATTGATAGCATAAGAAGACAATTCAGGAAATTTGTGATAAAGTTGCACATGAGTGGTACTGTGGCATTTAATCATAATGTAAAACTGTTATGAATTTACTTTTGATAGTTAAGACTCAAACATTATTTTACTTGTTAACTCATCAAAATCCCTGCCATCCTTATTCCTTCCATTAATGTTTTTGCAGGCCTTTTTTACCAGTTGGGGTTGGGAGGGGTGGAGAAGGAGAGAAAGGCAGGCCCAACCACAGTGATCCATAGACCACAATTACTTGAAAATTATTCTACTTTAATTATTTCTATAGGCCAGTTAAAGTTGACAGGATAAAAACTTTCATGCTAATTAGTGGAGACTAATTCTTTATAAGACAAATTTTTTCCTTCAACTTTAATACTAATCTCATATATTTATCCCAAAAGGTTAGATATTAGTTAATATGGATATATGACATTTATTTACATTCTCTTATTATCCCTTCAACACTAGCACTTTTTTTTTTTGTGAGGCAATTGGGATTAAGTGACTTGCCCAGAATCACACAGCTGGTGAGTGTTATGTGTCTGAGACCAAATTTGAACCCACTTCCTCCTGACTCCAGGGCCAAACACTAGCACTTCTGATGCCAGCAGAAAGAAACTTCTGGTTTATTGGGCCTACAGATATCTTTCTAACATAATCATAATTTTTGCGTCCTTATAAATTGGTTTATAAATTTTACGTATTTATAAATTAGTATTTTGTAATAGGAAATAAAAGGAAACATGTCTATGTTCAAAGCTCCCCACCAAAGTCTTATGCCTCATGATTGCATCGAAGTTACCCTGGATTCTTGAAGGGTATTCTAGCATAGTACAAGTTATATAGCATGTCTTACCAGGCTAGAAGGGCTTCAAGGAGAAGCCTGAAGACAGGCCATAAATCTGACATTTAAAGACCAGCTTGGCTGTGTTCCATGTTATTATGTGAAGGGTGGCCACCAGGGAAGGAAATTATTTTGTCCACAACAACTCATGGGAAATTATCTACTAATACTAAGTAAAATTGTGATCTATATTGGTGGAACGGAGAACCTGCAATAATGAAATCACATACCCTTGAAGTATTCAAATATGGTATAGGCACTGTGTTCATTGTTTAGGGAGCTTCAAAGCTAAGTCAGGCAGTCATCATTTATTAAGTGCCTACTTTGTGCCAGGCACTATACTAAGGCAGAGAGAAGCAAAAGATAGTCATTACCCTTGAAGAGCTCAATTTTTTTTTTGCATTTACTAGTATTTACTTTTTTCCTAATTACATGTAAAGATAGTTTTTAATATTCATTTTTGTAAGATTTTGAGTTCCAAATTTTTCTCCCTCCCTCCCCTCTTCCCCAAGGCAGCAAGCAAGCTGATACAGGTTATACATGTACAATGATGTTAAACATATTTCCACATTAGTCATGTTGTGAAAGAAGAATCAGAACAAAAGGGAAAAATCATGAGAAAGAAAAAAACCAAAAAAAGTGAAAATAGTATGCTTCGATCTGCATTCAGACTCCATGGTTCTTTCTCTGGATGTAGATAGCATTTTACATCACGAGTCTTTTGGAGTTTTCTTGGATCATTGTATTGCTGAGAAGAGCTAAGTCTGTCATAGAGGATCACTGCACAATGTTGCTGTTACTATGTATAATATTCTCCTGTTTCTGCTCACTTCACTCAGCATCAGACCATACAAGTCTTTCCAGGTTTTTCTGAAATGCACCTGCTCATCATTTTTTATAAACAGTAGTGTTCTGTTACATTCATGTATCACAGCTTGTTCATCCATTCCCAAACTGATGGGCATCCCCTCAGTTTCCAATTCCAAAAAGAGCTGCCATAAATATTTTTGTACATGTGGGTCCTTTTTCTATTTGTATGATCTCTTTGGAATATAGACCTAGTAGTGGTATTTCTGGACCAAAGAGTATGCACAGTTTTATAGCCCTTTGGGCATAGTTCCAAATTACTCTCCAGAATGGTTGGATCAGTTCACAACTCCATCAAAAGTGTATTAATGTTCCAATTTTCCCACATCTTCTTCAACATTTATCATTTTCCTTTTCTGTCATATTGTCCAATTTGATGGGTGTAAGGTGGTACCTCAGAGTTGTTTCAATTTGCATTTTGAGGAGCTCAAAATCTAATGAGGGAGACAACATGCGAACAACTATGTGCAAACAAGTTATATACAGGGTAACTAGGAAATAATAAACAGAGGGAAGGCACTAGAACAAAGAGGCATTGGGAAAGGCTCCTGTAGAAGGTAAGATTTGAGATGGTATTTAAAGGAAGCTAAGCAAAGCAGGAGACAGAGAGGAGGAGGGAGAACATTCCAGGCATCTGGGAGAGCCAGTGAAGATGCCCATAGCAGGAGATGGATTGTTTGTTTGAGGGACAGAAAGGAAGCCAGTATCATTGGATTGAGGAGGACATTTTGGGATGTAAAGTGTAAGAAGACTAGAAAGAGAGGCTGATTATGAAAAGCTTTGAACAACAAATAGAGGATTTTGGTTTTGATCTTGGAGGTGATAGTGATCTACTGGAATTTATTGAGTAGGGCAGATGACATATTTGGAAGTATGCTTTAGGAAAATCACTTTGGAGACTAAATGGAGGATGGATTGGAATGGAGGGAGAGAAGAGGACAGTGTAGAGTTGAACTGGCTCACCAACGGTTCAAGATGGGGAAAGGAGGAGAATATGGGTAATACAAAGTTGATTGATGGTTTTGGAGAAAACTGAGGGGTCAAGGGATTCGAGGTCATGGTATGGATGAAGAGTCAGGTGTAGTATTACAGACAGAGGTAGAAATCCAATAGATTGTGATCAGAGAGAGGGATTTCAGAATTCATGAACACGGAGGTGGTGCATTTGTGGGTGATGGCAGGATCAAGGGTATGACCATCTTTGTGTGTGACTAAGATGAAATGGAGGAGTAGGTCACAAGAAATGAGTAGGTAGAGAAGCTAGTAGGTGGAGATTAGGGTGTTTGAGGGGGTATCAATATGTATGTTGAAGTCCCCTTGTATGAGGGCAGGAATTGGAGAGGAGAATACGATTGTGAGCCAGGTACTGAATTCATTGAGGAAGGAAGGGGAGTGCCCTGGAGGTCTGTAGACAACAGCTATCTGGATTTTGATTGGATGGTAGATGTGAATTATGTAGACCTTAAAGGAGGAAAGGTTATTGAATGATGGTAGTAGTGTGCAAATCTGGAGGTGGCAATGGGGAGCAAAGAGTATTCCAATTTCCAGGCCTCTACCAGTGCTGTGGAGGAGAATGAAAGTGCGGCCAGTGCTGGAAAGGGTGGCCAGGGATTCTGCATCATCCAGAGGGAGGCTGTGTCATCAGGAGGGAGCCAGGTCTCAGTGATAACCAGAAGAAGGAAGAAGTGGGAAAGGAAAAGATTTAAGATGAAAGCAAGATAAATAAAATATGGTCTTTGTCTTCAAGCAGCCAAAAGAATAATAGGATGGTAAGATATTTGTTCATTGATTTAATCATTCCTTTATTCAACAAACAAGTGTTAAACACAGAGTTAAATGTGCTAGGCTCTAGAGAAAATGCAGAGATAAATAAAACACGGTCCTTTCCCTCAAGGGGCTTATAATTTAGTAGGTAGAAATATATTGTATGCATAGATAAACATAATACAGGCTATAATGAATAACTATGTAAAACAAAATGTTATCTAATCAGTGAGGGATGTATACCCAGAAGATATGCACACAAATAATTATGATAGATATATGCATAAAAGAAAAATTTTTAAAAAGAATGGCATGAGAG